GCAGCAGCAGCAGCACCTTTGGGGGCTCGGCCGAGAGACCGGAGCCGGGATCTGAGCGAGTGAGCGAGCGCCGGGGCCAGCGAATCGGAGCTGCCGGGACATGGGTGAGCACGCGCGGCGGCGACCTTGGCCCGGGAGCCCGGCGGCGCGCCCGGGGCGGGGGGCGGCGTGTGTGCCCGGCGTGCAAAAGTTCACGTTGCCTCGCCGGGGCTTTGACTTTACAGCGGGCGGGAAAGGGGAAAGGGAGCCGGGCAGCCGGGGTGCAGGTCCCGGCCGGGCTGGCGGGACTGTGCGCGAGGCGGGGCTGCCCACGGGTGGGCAGCGATGCGGGCTCAGTCAGGGTGGCCCGTTGGCAGGGACGATGTTGCAAGCATCGGGCTGGAGGGGTGGGGGCTTTTTGAGTTTCGCCTAATTGGGCCTTCCCCCCCCCCCTTTGCACCCCCTTCACCGTCCTGCTGCGGGGCGGCCTGGGCTGGCGTGCTTGGCATTGGAGAAGTAGACTGGACTGGGCGCTGGATGGGGCAGGGAACGAGGTGGGCAGGCGGATATGTACATACACACACGTACCATGCAGACACATTGCTCTTTGTAACTTACAGGTTAAGTGAAGCCAGAGCCGCATTGTAACCTGGTTGGATTTTTTTTTTTCCCTGGATTTGGGGGGGGGGGGGCGGGGATGCATCAGAATCTAACGTGTCCTTAATAGAAGAAGAGGGAAGAAGTGGTCCCGCGAAGGTCGGTGCGTGCTTGTTGTTGCTTCTTGTTGTGTGGCGACGTGTTAGTCCTTCTCTGAAAATATCAATCAATGGATGTGAGTTTCTTGTTCGTGCTCTCCAGTTTTAGGACTCTGAAAAAGACAGGATTTCCCTTAAAAGCAACACGAATGCCCTGTATTAATTTTCTTTTTAAAGCACGCATTGTGTGTGTATTTCTAGAGGAGCCCAGGGCTTGGGAAGTCACAGCAGGCTTTCCCCCATTCGGTGGTTTCCAGTGGGAAGTCACTCCGGAAAGGGAACCCTTCAGGGTATCGATTTATTGTTTTTGTCTTTCCAACCATTATCCTTTCGACCACAACCCTGGCTGAGAAGTTCCACGGAGACAAAGTGAGGTAAACTGGATGGGGCAGGTCTTGAGGATGGTGATAACGGTGCTGCTGGTGTTGGCGTCTGTTTGTGCTGGAAGCTTTGTTGGGTGATAGCAATTTCTGATCGGTAGAGCATGCCGCTTCTAAAAAGGAAAATTAGTTGCTGGTTTAAATGCTGTCTTCCTGTCCCCCTTCCCCACACTCTGCAAACACCCTCTCTCTCCTCCCCTAAGAACAATTCTGAAATCGGATCCTAGTGGAAATATTTTCATTGGAGATCGGAAAGTCGTGTAATTGGAAGTAGGCGATAAGGCTGGAGCTGCCGGGGGCGGGGTGTGTGTGGGGGGTGTCTCCGATGCTGCATTTAGTCTTTATGAGGATCTGCGCGGGGTGTGTGGATGTGGCTAAAGGGATTGTTGAGGGAAGGATTTCCGATTCGTTTCCGCTTCAAATAAACTGTCTTGATAATCTCATGGTTGACGTCTAATGCTAAAAGGGCAATTTATGTCGCTCTTTATCCTCAGTGCAGCTCCCCTACGAAAGGCCAGTTTATTCTGGGATTCTACAGCACCCCCTCTGCCTGGCCACCCCCCACATACCGCCCCCCCCCGAAAGTTTGGTTGGAATCCACGGTCTGTAAGGAAATACTGGGATTACTCTTACTTTGTTTTTCTTCTCTTCTTTAACATCCCTTCGCTGTCTGTCCTATTTATCCTCGCTTTCCTGGGGATTCGGACTTAAAACCAGACTCATAAGATAGCTGTCACCTGAGTGGGCTGACACTTTGGCCCCATCCTTTACCTCTTCTAGATCTCACAGGTAAACCTGCCCTGCCTTTTCCAAACTCACCTTGATTGGCGAACGTGGTTTGTGCGCGCGCGCGCGCCCGGGGTGGGGGCAGTGGGCGGGGGCGGGGCGTGGGGAAGAAGGGCGGTGGGCTGCGTCTGCCACTCCTGCCTCTTCGGAACCAGACGCGGGGCCACTTCTGGGGAGAGTTTCCTTCTACACCCCAGATAGTTGTTGCTTGGCGGGGATGGGTGGGCGTGGCCAAGTGGCCTGGGGCGTGGGAGGGTGGAGAAAGTTTGTAGCACTTTAAAAATGCTGGCAATTTACAACTCCTCCCCTTTCCCTGGTTTTCTGTGGCATTGGAGAGACCCTTAAGCTTCCCGGGAGAGGAGTGTTTCTTCTGTTCTGACCAGGTTTCGGGGTGGAATAGAAGGGGCTGTGTTTTGGGTTGCATGTGGTCTGCGCCCTTGCTGCTGGAAAAAGGGTGTCAGGAGTTAGTATTTGGAGCAGAGCAAGAGAGGAGAAAGCAAGCGTCGTTCTGGAACTCAGAGCCTTTGTAAACAGTAGAGAGAGTAACCTGAGAAGGTAGGAGGTTTAGCACTCAGAGGTCTGCTTGATACATCCCATCCACCCTCCTTCTCCCAGGTGAAAAAAGTCTTGGTCTTGGAGGGTTGACTTGATGCTTAAGAGCTGGATGGTGGAAGGTGCTAGCAGCAAAAACAACCCAAGCTGAGCTGGAGGAGGTGGTGAATGAAAGCAACCCGGGCAAGGAGGAACTTTGTCTTTCTTGGGGAGGGGGGACAATTGATGTGTCATTGGAATAGACAGACTGGAGGGAGGATGTTGTAGTGAACATGAAGAGAAACTTGTGTCAGCACCCTTGGGTGGGGTAAAGGGGCTACATGTAGTGTTATGTGGAAGGAAATAGAGGCTACCTCACAGGTTCATGGCTGCGATCATGCGCGTTTCTGAATGTTACATAGGTGCCTCCTGCTAAATACCCCCTTTTGGACTTCACACTGTAGCCCTGAACAAACCCAACAGTCCCCTCCTGTCATTCCAGTTTCTGGTAATGTGTTGAGCTCCTGGCACACGTGGAACTTGGTAAATAACCTGATTTGGGGAGGAGGGGGAGAAAACAATGCTTGCAATCTTTGTAGAAGATAGCGGAACCAGTCAGTGGGGCAGCAGGCAGGGTTTTGCTGAAGAAGAAATAAATAAATAGGTAGGCACGTCCCTCTGGAGTCCCTGTTCCATTTCTGCTGTTATCTTGACTTTCAATCCCATTAGGGGCCTGATCGATACTTCTCTGGCACTAACATGAGGGTCTCCGGTAGGAGAGTTCTCTCAACCCGGTCATTATTTTGAGTTGTACTTTAATCACCACTCTGAAGCGCCTGTGTAATATGCACACGGAGGAAGACGAGAACTAGCTAGACGGATGGGGCATCTTTTCTGGGCTCCTGCAGAGACACTGAAACTTGGCTGGGCCTCAGCCTCCCAGAATGCCAATTTTCCCCTTGGAGACTTGAAGTTTTAATTGAAACCAGAAAGCTATTGAAGGCGGACCCAGCCAATGAAACCCTGTTTTTTCTCTGCTGCTCAGGAATGGGAAATAATTCTTTTTTTAAATGGCATTTCAAGTCACTTTAGTTTTGCTCCCTGCCAGAAGAATGGGGTAAATGATCATTAGCACGTTGACATTCGAAGGCGTTGCCTTGCCTTGCAAACTAGGATGATGTTAGTGCGTGTGTGCTCAGGGATCCACCATGTGGGAGAGTCCTTGGGGGAGGGGAAAAGGCTGACCTTGTCAGGAGGGTTAGCAGCAGCTCTATGTAGAAAAACTCAGAAGAAAACAAAGAAGTCACACAGAATCCTGGACCCATCATCTGCTTCTCCCATCCTCTGGCCCTCTGAAGAGCAGAACAGGACTACCCAAACCCAGTTCTTCCTGTCCTGGGACATAGCATGAAGCCTGGAGTCCCTCCCGAAATGTTAGCACCAGGATGAAACAAAGCAGCGTCCCATCATGCATATTGTCATAGGCTTGACACGTCATCTCCAGCCATCTCTACAGGTGACCTTGTGTTTCACAGACTTTTCAGGAAGTGGCAGACATGTTGGATGGCCAAATGGTGGGTGCCAGAAAGACAACACAGAGAGGCCCACAGGTTGGACTTCTTTCACACAGGGGAAAAGGTCAGCCAGCATTTTTTTGGTTTGGTTGTGAGTTTTCATTTCCACTTCAATTGGCCTCAGCTGGACCCTGGTGCTGCCTTGAACATGTTGGGACAATGCAAAGTGTTGGGAGAACTTGTCTTCTTGGGAGACTGAGGCCAACTTCGTCCCTCTCCCCCCAGCTCTCATCTAGAAATCTCAGACATTCAGACCACAGCTGCGCGTCCTTGGGCATCAGACTCTTCTCTCCCCTTGAAGAGTGGGTCTGAATGTATTCAAGACCATGGGAGTGGAGCACAGCACGGGGTGGGTGGGTGGAGGGAGAGCTTTATGCTCCATTTTGCCATATACGACACCTCAGAAGACAGACTGGTGATTTCCTTAACAACCAGTGGAGCATTTCTAGTCTGTGCAGAGAGTCCCTGTGAGTTAAAGTTCGGAGCCAACTCATAGCTGACCCTCCTGCAGGTTTTTTGAGGCTGTAAATAGTGCAGGAAGAAATTGCTCACCTCTCTCTTGTACAAGTGCTAAGGGGTTGAATCCACCAGAGGGCCATGGTTGGCACTCTGTATCATGCAGAGCATAGGAAGCCAGGGTCACTGGGGCATGCGGGCATCCCTGAAGCCCACAGGATCCCTCAGAGGAAGCACCTGCACCTTCTAAGCAGAACCACAGAGGACAGTTCTGGACTCAGCCAGTCACACTGATCCCAAGTGGGTGTAACTTCTGTCTTTACTTTACTGGACGTAGGCATGGGGGGGCAGTGCGTGTTGAGCACATAAGCCTTGCAGAACTTTGTCCAATTAGAAGTCATGTTTCTGGACCTAGTTTCTCTCGTCTAATCAAAATGACGTCATTTTATGTACATCACACTTTGTCCTTTTCAAGAACATCTACCTGTCCCAACTACCCCTGGATTCGCCTGAGGAGGAAGGTTGGATAAGTGTTTTGTCCCCATTCGGAAGGGAATCTGTGAGGAAACAGACCAGGGTGCCCAAAATAACAGGAGGAGTTGGTGGCAGGCCTGGGGCCAGACGCCTGTGCTAAGGTGTGAAG